CACCCTGGAGTGTCCAACCAGTTCCTCATCAACACGAGTGAGTGGCCACGGCGGAGCAACAGCAGCTTGTCATTGTGGTTGCACACTGTGTTGTTGACTAAGAACGTAATACTTTTCTCCAGACTCGGAGTTGGCTCTCATGTACAACGATTCCTCTGTTCTGGAGAACCACCACCTGGCTGTTGGCTTCAAACTGCTGCAGGAAGAAAACTGTGACATTTTCCAGAACCTGACCAAGAAACAGCGGCAGTCGCTGCGCAAAATGGTTATTGACATGGTGAGGAAATGGAGGCAATGACGAATCTGTGAGGCAATGATGAAGAGCTCCAAGTCTGAGAACTACAAGCAACACGGTTTTATTTATTTACCGTGTATTTGACCCTTTGCAGGTCCTAGCCACTGATATGTCAAAGCATATGAACCTGTTAGCGGATCTCAAGACCATGGTAGAGACCAAGAAGGTGACAAGTCTGGGCGTGCTGCTGTTAGACAACTACTCTGATCGCATTCAGGTATTCTTTGAGCTTCTGTGGAGCAAAGCCATTTTATATTGTTAGAAAATCTTTTTTGCTTCATAAGTAAAAAGTTTATAGTTAAAAATGTGCGGTTAATCAAATGCGTAGGTTCTTCAGAACATGGTGCATTGTGCTGACCTGAGCAACCCAACAAAGCCCCTGGAGCTGTACCGTCAGTGGACAGACCGCATCATGGTGGAGTTTTTTACTCAGGGGGACCGAGAGAGAGATAAGGGTATGGAGATCAGCCCCATGTGTGACAAACACAATGCTTCCATTGAGAAATCACAGGTGAGTGAGGGGAAATGCTAAATAATATGCCACAAACTGGCCTTGAGGACTTTGGGCCTCATTCCATCATTAAGAATATAGTTTTATAATATAATATAAGATAATATAATAAATCAGTGTTGAAATGAACAAAAACCAAAACTTAATTAAATTAAAGCTGAAATCAAATAAAAAATATTAAATGAAAAAAAGTTAAACTTAAAAAATATAAACGTCAATTAGAAAAGTTGGCAACCAACTAAATAGATTTAAGCTGAAGTACTAAAGTTATTTAAATTATATATAATTATATATATATATATATTATTTAAAATTAAAACTGAAATAACAATACTTTCAAGCAAATGTTAAAAAATAAAAATAAATAAAATGACAAAAGCATAACAAAATTCCTAAATCTAAAACTTAAATAAAAAAGATCATTCTAAACGATAATACATATAATAGTATATAATTAATACTAAAATAACAACACAAATAGAGTAATATTATATAGTGATAAAACACATTTTACAAAATTGTATGTATATACTGTATATATATATATATATATACTGTATACGTATATATACCAATCTTTCTATATTAATCATTTCTATTTCTAATCATTTCTAATAATAATCATATACAGATAAAATTGGATACGAAATTATAGATATTGATATTATATAATAATGTAAAATTTGTATTATAAAAATAAAATAATTATATTATTATTATATAAAATACAACAACAATAATAATAATTTATCATTATGTAATAATTTTTAAGACATATATATACAGACATACTATTTATTTGAACTATATTAACAGGCTTACATAAGTAACACTTGTATAAAATTATTAGTGTTTAAATCCCCTGTTGTAGAATGACAATACAAACTCATATTAACTGCTCATTCCCCGTCCATCAGGTGGGCTTTATTGACTACATCGTGCACCCGCTATGGGAGACCTGGGCGGATCTGGTTCATCCTGATGCCCAGGAGATTCTCGACACGCTGGAGGACAACCGTGAGTGGTACCAGAGCTTGATCCCCCACAGTCCCACCTCCACCCCTGAGGACAAGGGCGGTGTGGTCGGGATGGGAGCGATAGGTGGAGGCATCACCTCAGCGGGGGAGAAATTCCAGTTTGAACTGACCTTAGAGGAGGAAGGGGAGTCTGATGTCGAGAGTCCCGTGGACGAAGAGTTCACTTCCACCACACAGGATTCCTCCAGGACAGATCCAGAAGGCAAACATCCGTCTTCGGCTCCCCGCTCACAGCAAGCCAACCTGACCGCTTGCTCCCCCGGCTGCAGGACAATGTCTTTTAAGATGGCCAAGCAGCCAGACAGTGAAGATGAAGATAGAGAACTTGACCAAGAAGGGAAAAGCGTGTCTTGCCTGCGTCTGGGAACATAACACTAGGGCACTTTTTCATTGCGTTCTTTTTTCTTCTTTCCTACCTCTTCCTCACCACCTCCCTATCCCTCTCCATCCCATTCTTAGCTTCCTCGGGTGGAGGCGACGCAGTGCAGGAGAGCAAAGGAGAGGTAGGAAAGCTTCCACAGGACGTTTTTATACAGTAGTCACCTTGCACTGGAGAAGGCTCCTACTCTACGGACTGTCAAAGCGTGAAGCTTTCTTAAAAAGTTCTCGGTCTCGTGACTTCGGGATGCCATTCGGCTTGAGACTGAGAGGAAACGTCCTCAAGTGTCTTCCTGTGACATCCCAGGTTTAAAGTTAACGAACCAGTGGAGCCGTCCGAACATATTGATCGATAAACAGGACACTTTTTATGTGAGACGTATGTGCACTAAAATGTTTTTAAAAAGATACACTGTTGACTTAAAGCTGGTCTAATAATAGCTGAACAGAACAACCTAACCTTAACACAACAGAACATCTCAGGATTCAAAGAAACGATTGCTTTCATGTAGCAAACAGCTTGAGGGTACCCACATAGTGACCGCCGTCTTCCTTGTTTCACTATGTAAGTCGAGCCAAGATTGTGATCTTTTCTATTAGTATGTGTCGCCACCTAGTGCTTAATAGTGGAACTGGAGCCACGTTTATAGGATTTACCACTCCAGCCGAACACAGTGGCTCTGTGTTGTTGTTTCTTTGCACAGATTATACTCATCTGACCGTTTTAACTTAAAACCCTTCTCACCTTTATTTGTAGGAATGCTGCTTTAATTTAAGGCATTCACATGGTTTACATATGCTTCTCGTTTATTTTTCTATTCTGCTTCATCCAAAGCATGAGCGCAAGCATTATTTCATTGTGCGTCACGGTTTTAAAACGGCTTGCTTCTGATATTCTAGGTAGCACTTTAGAAGATATCTTTGTCATTGCCAAACGTAGCTCCATCAGTAAGGGCTGGAGTCATTCTGAATGTACAGAAGACTAGGATTCGCCGTGATCTGCAGGGTAACCAGCATGTGTACGCACCCTGTATGTAAGTTGGTCTCTGGAAGGCTGGGCTAGCTTGGAAACCCACATTAGCTGTATAGGAAGTGATCGGTGTCCTTAAACCACGTGTACTTTCTCTCTCTTTCTGTGCTGGTCACACTGAAAAATATGAGGTATCTTAACATCTTTGCAAATGTATGATGTCTAAACAAATGTTCTAAAATGAGAGCTGTGCGCTACAAGATGCATTAAGCCAAAGTTCGTTTTCTGTGCCAGACCTTTTGTGTTCTTTGGTTTTTGGTGATTGATCAGTGCTCTGCTCTTCACAGGGACATAGCCATTAGCCAATGACAGTACAAGTGCCAAGCAAGCATGATCCATGCTGTACTGTAATTTCCATGTTGCCACTGGCTAATTTCCATCAATGACATCTATACTGTCAGTAACATACTGATTTAAGCATTTAGTTTTCTTTTATTTTGTTATTCAAAACTGGCGATTTGTCAAGCTGAAATTTTATTTAAGAGTATTCATGATTAATAAGTCTTTCTGACTCAGTGTGCTCATTGTAAGTCAGATTATTTGTCCTTTTTATACCATGGTATGAATTGTAATATTGGATACAGTGAGTCTTTGTATGTAAGTGGATTACAGTAAACGGGGCTTTAAAATTATTGGCTATATGTTCATCTTAATGTCAGTCTGTGCTCTTTAGCAATGTTTCATGTGGTGAAAGAAATGCTGAGTGGCCATGCAAAGTTCGACTGACTGTATCCACACGGCACACCTCTGTTTGGTCTTTTCTGTCGCAGATCTGACAATCCCAACAGTACTGTTTACCACTACAACGCTGTTTCTAAAGTTGCTGTGATCGTTTTCCTGTTCCCAATGCCAATAAACGAGGAAATATTAGTAAGCTGGACTCATTTGTGTTATATTGAAACCCAGTACCATAATATATAAATAATAAATGCTTTGGTAAATTATAAGATTGCAATTGGGCAAAAAGTTGAAATAATGATATAAATCATAATTGTGACATAAAGTTGAATTTATTATATGAAAAGTTAAAATAATGACAAATGATGGCAGTGGTCAAAATGATGGCATAAAAAGCCAAAATGATGACAAAAAGATTAATTATGACATTAAAAGTTCACAAAAATTACATAAGTGATAATTAAGACAAAAGTCGAAGTTATGACATTTCTATTTGTTGTCATAATTTTGACTGTCATAATTTATTTTGATTGTCATTATTTTGAATTTGTCATAATCATAACTTAGTATGTCATTATTTTGACTTTTTATGTAATGTTATAATTATTATGACTTTTTTAATAATTATGACTTATAATAGTGATTTATCAAACTTTTTTGTCCAAGATTTTTCAATCTTATAATTATGACTATTTCATAAAAAGACAGCATCATGATCTCGTTATAATTTTAGCTGCGATTTTTTATCTCATAAATGTAACTTTTCATCTTAGTATGTATGACTTAATATGTAATAGTTAAATTTAGACTTTTAGATCATAATTTCTCTTATGGCATAGTTAGGATTATAATTATGACTTTTTATCCCATAATTATGACTGTTATGATTTCATTGAAATTATTAAATGTAAGAAATTATGACTTGAAAATATTGAAATGGGAATCCACAGTATTGATTTAAAACATCTCAAAAACTAGCAAATGCTCTTGTTGCTTCATGCATTAGACCGCTAAATCGTTAAAGTGACGGAGCGGACGTGTAATTGGCTCATCCACATGTCAGTCATTGTTTAGCCCCGCCTCCAGCTGGCTCCCGTCGAGTGACGAAAGCAAGAGCGCAGGTGCACAGGCTGGGAACTGCGTCCAAACCACACCAAATAAACCTCCTGTTAAGGTAAGCTGAGCTTTCTCTGGCAACATCTTGCCGCTTCACCTTGCATTTATTTCGAAATGACAAAGAAGTCGCATAGAAACGTCAGGAAATCAATGGTTTAGATTTAAAAACAGCGTAACCTTCATTTGACATCGCTAACTGGGATGGATCATAAAAAGCCTCTGCTGTATAATCCATCGCTGCATGCTACAAACTAACATGTCAACTGGCTTTTGACACTCAGCACATTGTCGCTGGCAGTTATGATGAATACTGTCTGTTTGATCGATGGGATGTTAGTCACTCGCTGACCCGAATAAAAACGGAAATCAGTCCGTGTGTGTTGTGCGGATAGATGCTAACCGGAGCTCAACTGACTTAACCGCTATCAGCCATACAGCAGTCTCGCTCTCACAGGCTGCCATTTATTTTAAACGTCTCGATTGGACAATTGGCTCGTAAACGTAGCTGCACTTTTCATACGCAAAGGTTTCTTGCTCTAATCTTGTACGCCAAGCCTGAGCCATATGTTTGAATTAAGCCTCGATGTGTGCCTGGCTGATCAGGTGGCCTGACAAATAACAGACTAAACAGAGCAGGAATAAACATTCAGGGATTGGTTTGTCTCTATATGGGAAAGAAGGAACCCCCTTGGTCTTCCATGATAAAATGGGAATATTAGAATAATCTTCCCCTGATATTGTTGGTGTGCTAAGGTCCTGAGCTAAGCACAGGGTTTAGCCGGCACAAAACCTTTGAAATACTTGGCTACACGGACTGCCTAGCTCAATCCATAAGGATACAGGCACAGTGCAGGTTATACCCTCTATTCACTTTGAATTTGTGTTGTAATTCAGCAAACAGGCTGTGAATAAGAAAACATATTTGATTCAACACATTGCCAGGAACCGTTTCTGACACCATTGTCCGTTGAACATTGTGCTGTATAAGAATAATCAGCCTTGTACTGTAGTTATGTCAGTTTTCTTATCTGATTGCTTCTACAGTGAATGTCTGGAGAATACATAACGGACTATAGTCACTCATGACATGATTCAGTTCATTGGAAAAGACTCATTATACTACAGTTACTCGTTACAAAAAGTTAGTTAATGTGCAGTATGCAGATGAATTTGGCTGTTATTGGTCTCTGTGTTCACTAAAATAACTTGTTTTCATAAATTGTCTGACATTGCAAAACCACCAGTTTTTTATTTTAATTTTGCTTGGTTTATACATAGCAGCTGTCTAAAATATTTTCATTTTTATTAAAGGGGTTATATGATGCTATTTTAAAGATCATTATTTTGTGTATTTGGTGTAACAGAATATGTTGACATGCTTTAATGTTCAAAAAGACACATTATTTTTCAAATACTGTACATTATTGTAGGTCCTCTATGCCCCGCCTCTCTCAAACGCTTCGTTTTCTACAAAGCCCCCTCCTTTGACAAGCGCAGTCCGCTCTGATTGGCCAGCTGACCCAGTGCACTGTGATTGGCCGAACACCGCAAGCACTCGTCGGAAATGTAACGCCCCTTACCATAATCGCGAGCTTCAAGCTTTCAAAATAAATGTAAAGACAGAGCATGAAAGGGGAACAGAGTCGCGTGACAGACACAGTGAGGAAGCTGGTTTGTGTTTGCAGTACACAAGCCACGGTTAAGACAGCTGACTCCACTGTGATGTGACACTGTGTCTCTCTCTCTCTCTCTCTCACACACACACACGCGCGCGCGCACACACACATACACACAATGCGCAAAACTCAGCATTTGAACAGTCAATAGCAAATACTTAAACTAATAACAAAACAGTAGCTGATTCAGAAGCGCCAGATTGTCATAGCAAAGTCAGAATTACCTCCTCTCCTAGGTTCACGAAACGGTCGTCCATAAAATGCATTGCTGTTCTGTTGTAAGTAATCTTAAAGATTCCTAAATGCATCTACTTTCGGAAGGCCAAATAAAGTGCTTTTGCTTTCGCCTAGAAACACACAGCGTCTCCCTGACATGCTGCTTCAACACTAACTGCGGTTGTGTAAACATACCTGGCAATAAAGCTCATTCTGATTCTGATTCTGATTCTTCACGACATGGCGGCGGCAACAATACTACAGCGAGAATAAAAGTTATGCCTTCTCTCTTTGCGTGAACATTTGGGAAGCGTTATGCAAATCTTCCGAGATCGTGACGTAGGTATGTGGGGGTGTGTTAGAACGAGCCGTTTTAGGTAGGTGTGGCTAACTCTTAACTTTTATAAAGAATATCTCTTTGGATTTGAGACTTTAGTCTTTGCAACTTTACAGATCTTCTTTATTCACCAAGAGCTTGTAACACTCCAAAGAGAAAGGAAAAATTGAAATCGCATCATATGACCCCTTTAAGTATGTTTGTTAGCCTACATCTGTTCATTTCTTTATCCACATGAATAACAAAGGCTTTTTCCCAAATCTCTACTAGTCCTAGCTGAGATACCAGAGATAATCATCCCAAAAGTTAGAGATATTTTAACTTATGCATTTATAAGAAGAAAAAACTGCACAAATAAGAGAAATCTCAAACCTGATTTTTTAAAACTTTGCTGGGTACCCTCTAAAAAGATTTAGGACTGAGACTTGAACCCTTCCCATTATTAATTGACTGTCAAAATGGAAAATTGAGCCATCTTCATAATTACTTTTTTTATTTAATTCTAAGTCCAAGGAACAAGAATGTGCAAAACAGCACATATACAGTACGTGTAACCTGAAATATACACTAAAGGTCAGTTTTTGCTCCAAAGAGCTAGAACCTAAACCGAGATATTGAGGTTTCCGTAAATGTATAACTGAAAATTTGTTCCAAGTCAAGACCCAAAGTAAGCCACTGTAATTAAACTAAAGCTGTGTCCAAAATCGCATACTGTCTAGAAAGTATTTGGTTTGAAACTTGCTTCACCACTGTTAAAAAAGTATGTTCTACTGTAAAACTGTATGAATATGAGTATGAATAAAATTTAGTACATCTGCCACGTTGTTATCCATCCATTATGCTTGAATGTATGTCACAATATGGAAGAAGAGATTTATCGCAATTCTATAAATCACCTTCTTTGTTTTATTGTTACAGATGGCCTCAGCAAATGATGCTCGATATGGACAAAAAGAGTCTGCGGATCAGAACTTTGACTACATGTTTAAGATCCTGATCATTGGTAACAGCAGTGTCGGCAAAACCAGTTTCCTGTTCCGCTATGCTGATGACTCCTTCACACCTGCTTTCGTCAGCACTGTCGGCATAGACTTCAAAGTGAAGACCATCTACCGGAATGACAAGAGGATAAAGCTCCAAATATGGGTGAGGAGTTCCTTATCGTTTTCATTTCAGAGTCTTGAGTTTTGTGTTAGAGTAAGGAGTAAGTTTTATTGACTCCAACTTCTGTATATTTCAGGACACTGCTGGGCAGGAGAGGTACAGGACCATCACCACAGCATATTATCGTGGGGCAATGGGCTTCATTCTGATGTATGACATCACCAACGAGGATTCCTTTAATGCCGTTCAGGACTGGTACGATAGTGCTTGTTTTTGTCCGTGGCTCATAAAATTGACACATTTGCAAAGATGCGACCTAGTTTCTGTCTAAACACGGACTGTCCTGAGAGCATGCTCTATATTTTTCAGCAACCAGGTGCGATGTGATATGATTCCAGCAACAAGTAATTAATCCACTTTAAACATGAAATTGCTACACAACATGACACAATCACATCGGTCAGAAGTCGGCACTAAATGAAACTTAACAGCAGCACCATTTTAAGTGAGCAGGGCGTCAAAACAGCGGAGCGGATCACATAACAAGCGCTCAGGGTCGTTTATTGTAAATATCTTTCAGCGCTATATCCTCTAGTATTTTTATCTAAAGCCAAACGAGCTTTATTCAAGCCCTTTCAGCTCCGTGCGTTTTCTCTCTCTCCGGACGCGCGCCGGCGCCAAGTTTAAGAGCTGCGGATGACACGGTTATTTTAACAACAACAGAAACACCGTGAGCAGCAAAATTATAGATTACTTTCACTAAAACACAGAATAATGCCCAAAACAAAAAATGAATTTTGTAATGGTTTAATGGAAACTATAAGAATTTCTGTGATAGTTTCTATTGTTTTTTTCAGCAGGGTAATGATACCCATACTGTGCTGCACATTATTGGCAATATTGAGCTGAAGCTTGACTTTGCAAATTTAAAATCGCAAATCAAATCGCAATCGCAATATCTGTCAAAAAAATCGCAATTTGATATTTTCCCCCAAATCGCACAGCCCTATCTATAACCTATGACTGTTCAAACCAGATGTGACAAGACGTCTCTGATCTACATTTAGCATTATTAATCTGTAAGCTAAGAACATTTAAAAAAATATGTAATTATATTTGGGAAAACTGTTGTTAGATGACTAGGATGGAACTTAAAAACTTTGAAACTGTTAGTTAACTTTCTTTTCTGCTAAAGATGAGAACGCTTTGATTGTTGTAGCTACATTGTTTTTAGTAGATGCTGCTTTTAAGTAAAATATTAAAATATTATAGATTTCAGGAGGAAAACCCTGAACAGAAACAGTATTTTTTTTCTGTCACATGGCCTCGCATGTATCTAAATGTAAAAATACAATACATGTAAAAAATTATTTTATTTTTTTCTCTGGATCTTTGCTTGGAAGAAAATATAGAGGCTGTGCCTCTTGGAGCTTTAACTGATTACCCATTTATGATTATATTTCCTTATGTGTCATGGTAGATCGGACTCTTATTATAGAATTTGATTACATTTGATTTTGAACATGGTAATGAATTAAAATATATAAGTAACAGGCTGGATGTACAATGTTTGGGATGACCAGAACCCTTCCTAGAGCTGGCCGTCTGGCCAAACTGAGCTATCGGGGGAGAAGAGCCTTGGTGAGAGAGGTAAAGAAGAACCCAAAGATCACTGTGGCTGAGCTCCAGAGATGCAGTCGGGAGATGGGAGAAAGTTGTAGAAAGTCAACCATCACTGCAGCCCTCCACCAGTCGGGGCTTTATGGCAGAGTGGCCCGACGGAAGCCTCTCCTCAGTTCAAGACACATGAAAGCCCGCATGGAGTTTGCTAAAAAAACACCTGAAGGACTCCAAGATGGTGAGAAATAAGATTCTCTGGTCTGATGAGACCAAGATAGAACTTTTTGGCCTTAATTCTAAGTGGTATGTGTGGAGAAAACCAGGCACCTGTCCAATACAGTCCCAACAGTGAAGCATGGTGGTGGCAGCATCATGCTGTGGGGGTGTTTTTCAGCTGCAGGGACAGGACGACTGGTTGCAATCGAGGGAAAGATGAATGCGGCCAAGTACAGGGATATCCTGGGCGAAAACCTTCTCCAGAGTGCTCAGGACCTCAGACTGGAACTAAGGTTTACCTTCCAACAAGACAATGACCCTAAGCACACAGCTAAAATAACGAAGGAGTGGCTTCACAACGACTCTGTGACTGTTCTTGAATGGCCCAGCCAGATCCCTGACTTAAACCCAATTGAGCATCTCTGGAGAGACCTAAAAATGGCTGTCCACCAACGTTTACCATCCAACCTGACAGAACTGGAGAGGATCTGCAAGGAGGAATGGCAGAGGATCGCCAAATCCAGGTGTGAAAAACTTGTTGGATCTTTCCCAAAAAGACTCATGGCTGTATTAGATCAAATGGGTGCTTCTACTAAATACTGAGCATTTTTCAGTTTTTCTTTTTTAATAAATCTGCAAAGATGTCAACAATTCTGTGTTTTTCAATCAATATGGGGTGCTGTGTGTACATTAATGAGGAAAAAAAATTAACTTAAATGATTTTAGCAAATGGCTGCAATATAACAAAGAGTGAAAAATTTAAGGGGGTCTGAATACTTTCCGTACCCACTGTATATATATATATATATATATTAGTCAATAAATATGCATTAAATATATGGCAAAAGTCATCACAACCTGCTATTCTTAACATCCATAAAGTTAAATGAATAAAAATATGTAAACCATACATGGAAGTAAATCTTTACCACCTGATACACAAGGAAACAGTGTCAAATGCATTTAGCCTATTAAAAATAACTAATCATTATCTTGTATTTAATTATTATTATTATTATTGATATTTAATTACAAATATTTAATTTATTTTAATTATTAAATGTCTTTTTAACATGTTTATATATAAATGTTAATTACAGTAGCATTTAGGCAGTTCAAATGCTTTTTCTTAATGACTCGTTTACTGCTCTTAGGTCCACACAGATTAAGACATATTCATGGGACAATGCTCAAGTGCTGCTGGTGGGAAATAAGTGTGACATGGAAGACGAGAGAGTGGTTGCTTCAGAGAGAGGAAGACAGCTGTCTGAACAATTAGGTGCGTTTTCCTGAACAGAAGGTTTTCCACTTGAATTTCCTTCATGTTTTCTCGTAGCTCTTAGTTTAGTTTGAATATAATAGTGCCTTTTACTTCTTTTGACTGTCACAGGCTTTGAGTTCTTTGAGGCCAGTGCCAAGGACAACATTAACGTGAAGCAGGCATTTGAGCAACTGGTGGACATAATCTGTGAGAGGATGGCAGAGAATCCGGAGTCGGCGGACCCGTCCACCACGGGAAACAGGCAGTGCCCTCAGCTCAGTGAGCAGCCACAGCGCTCCCACAAAGACTGTGCTTGCTAAGGGTCGCTCACAACCTCTCCACCATTCCCAGCAGTTTGAACAATGGACGCTCTAGGAAAGAAGGCTTTGGTAAGAGAAGAGCTGATGGGATGCAGCTGAGAACCTGTCCTCTCTCTGTCCCTCTTGTGAGATTGACATCAGTGCATTTTTGTTTCTCTTATATTGGTAACCAATGCTCCTCTCATCTCTTAAGAATTGGAATAATTTAATATCTTTTTGACTTTGGGGTCAAGTTAATTCCAACGTGAAATTGGGTGAATCACATTTGCTTTTGGTACACTGTCTGCTAAAACGTACTTCTAAATGTTCATGAGCATTTCTTAGGTATGTTTTTGGATTCATCAAGTTCAAATTCACACAAATATCCTCAATATATTGCCAGGAGATATTTTATTATTTCCTAAACAGAAAAATATACATTTAGGACCAGGTTGTTGTGTGGAAACCATCAGCATAAAGGCTCATCCCGAGATGGAACGTTTGAATGAATCCTAAGCTTGAATTGTTCATAAGTACTGTTTCACTCTTAATTTTTAAATTAAAGAGTGAAAACGAATTGCACACTAATTAATTTGCTCCCTATTATTTTTTAAATAACAGCAGGTGTATTTTGTAAAACATATATAAGCAAAAACGGTATATGTGAGATAATAGATGTAATTAGGAAAAAATCATTATGATGTGCTTAATTGCTTCTTGTTTTGTAATATGAAGGAATTAATGAATTTAAGTGTATTATCAGTTACATGTTCTGCTTTTACTCCCTTTCCTACATACAGGTGGTCTCAAACTCCTCATTGTACCATAACGGAAGTGTGTGAGTGTGTGTGCATGTTAGTATGTCATCCTAGTATTTTGTAGATGTTTCGTTTTTACAAGCATAGATGAGGATTACTGCTGTTCTACGGGCTGAAAACTACGGTGGCCGTGAAGTGCAAAGCAAATCACAATTCTGAAAACAAAATAACAAATTACAAACGCAAATGCAAGTCTAAAAAACAAAATAATTCAGAAAGCACAACAACAATTCAGAAAACATTATAACAAGTCAGAAAACACAATGACAAATCCGAAAACAAATTAACAAATCAGAAAACACAACGACAAATCGAAAAAAAAAATTTTCCTTAATTTTTATTGAAAATAAATGCCTTTACGATGTGATACGAGATTTGAAAAGGCAGAAAAAAAAAGTTAGGCAAAAGGCGGGATCGAACCCCGGTCGATCGCGTCAAAAAGGCAACGTCTCGCGCTTATCCATCTGCACCACTGGAGCTGATGGTTTGTGTTTTTTAGACTTGCATTTGCGTTTGTAATTTGTTATTTTGTTTTCAGAATTGTGATTTGCTTTGCACTTCTCGGCCACCGTAGAAAACACAATAAAAGCTTTAATGAAAAGAGAACCTAAATCAAAGAATAGCAGCTAATGAGTTTGTGGACGAGACTGTATTTTGAAAAGACTGTAATATGAAAACAAAATGCATTGTGATTCTCATTTAGGCATTAGAAAACAGATACTATATGCACCACTGATTGATCACTAGAGTATTAACATATGTTAATGCACACAATAATGTTATTTTTGTTGTAATTAGGTATGTTAATTTACTGCATTATTTATTGCTTATTTATTTACATGCGTTTTTGTTGGTGTATGTGTTCTGCGTTAGATTAAGAGGGCTACTGCTATATTTATAGAACAGGCTTGGACATCGGAAATGTCTCGCTTTTATAAATCACAGAGTTTTAAACACAAAAGGCAATGTATGTTTGAAAACATCATGTTTGTAGAAGTATGTGTTGGTTTCCCCCTATGCAATTCAGAAACTTTGTTATACCAAATAGTCACTGGATATGCAGGGATATTGTTTGTAAGGTAATTGACGATTTATACCCTTCATTTAAAACCTTTTTTACAGTCCAACAAATAGCAAACCACTGGGATTTCCTTTTTTATACAGAGAAATTTGACACATTAGTTTGCTTTATATGCAGAGTAATCACTGTTAAAGTAGAAGCCATAAAACTGAGTTTTGGTTTTGATACACTTTTGTAGTTTTTTTATTTTTATTTTATTTTTTGTAGTTGGCAGTTTGAGTATTGTTTGTTTTGTAATTGTACAATAGTCCTTCAGTTCCAGCACTATGATATATGTCATTTTAAAAATTACAAATCGTTTTTTAATTGCTGAAATAAATGAACTTTTCCACGACATTCTAATTTATTGAGATGCACCTGTACATCATGCTGTGTTTCACCCTGGGAGATAATGGTAATAAACCAATGTATTAGCAACTGATATAAGCAGGACACTCACTCTCATGAGTTTTGAGAATCAAGTGACCACTTGCATCTGTTTGAGTTCAATAAAAAGCTATGTTTGAAACCTTTAGTGACTTATTGCTGTCGTTGTTGACCTTTTATATTGTCTTGACAAAGAGGGGCCTCAAAAAGTTGAGCTCCACTGGCCTATATGGGAGCTGCAAGAACTCGGATGTAATGCTTGGTTTGCTAATTTATATTGAAGGTTTATGGTGTCGTAAGAAACAATGAAGAGTTTGATGCATACTCTGCGTCTTCAGATTATTTATTTATTATCTGATGGCGGCTGAATGACAAGTACAGATGCTAAATAAAGAGAGCCTGGGGAATTGAAATCATCCACATGTTAAACGTACTGTATAAATTACCTTCTTTCACATCCTCATCGCATAATCTAAACATTTTCTCAAGGAAATCAAGATCCGCACAGATTTATAAAGACCTACAGAAACCTGTTACGAATGCTCTGTATTGCATTACAACAGTAATTTGTAAAATATGTCTGCGTTTGGTTCTTGCTTTCAGATGTTTATGGATAATCCTGCTGATGTCTATGGCATTTGTGATGGAGGAATGATGGTGTCCTCGACTATGGATTTTTTGCAATTTAACAGGAGTTTGGTTGAAGTTTCCTGTGGACAGAATGACTCTTCAATCTGTACAGAGGGGTATTCTTCTGTCGTAGATCATGTATTTTATCAGGAACAACAGGAAGTTTGGAATGTGAATGGTTATACACACTTGTGTCCAACAGAAGAGTTTCACTCCACACAGAATGGACAAATACAAGGAGAAAGGTTTATGTTCAACAGTTCAGACATGGATAGATCCAGTCTGAACACAAACCGGTCACGGTTTACCTGCCAGTGGCTGGAGCGATCTGCAGGTGCCCCACAGTGCTGTGAGAAAACCTACTGCACAATGATGGAGCTCATCTCTCATCTGACAGCGGAGCATGTTAATCTGTCAGGACAATCCAGTTACGTTTGTTTGTGGGAAGACTGTTCTCGTCAAAGGAATCCATTCAAGGCCAAGTACAAACTGATCAATCACCTAAGAGTGCACACGGGAGAAAAGCCCTTTCAGTGCTCGTTCGGATGTGGAAGAGCATTTGCACGGGCGGAAAACCTGAAAATTCATGAGAGGACTCATACAGGTAACACTTCAATTGTTGTTGTTGTTGTTTTTTTCTTTTCGTTAATGTTGCATGAGGTGATTGGTTTTAATTTTCTTTTTTTGTTACAGGTGAAAAACCTTTCAGATGCCCTTTTGAGGCCTGTGAAAGGCGTTTTGCTAACAGCAGTGATAAACAAAAGCACATACGTGTCCACGCACCGGAGAAGCAATATATTTGCATGCACTGCACTAAATCATATTCTCATGCGAGCTCCCTCAGAAAACATGCAAAGGTAAATTAGAATTTAAATATGCAGCTCAAATAGTAATATACAAACCTGCATTCTACGCTTTACAAATTTTTAAGTGCTTTTACATATCCTATTTTTTACTAAATGTACTTTTTTTGAATGCACTTTTTAAATGTACTTTGTGATTTAATAAGTGAATGATATACGTCATGTAAATTAAGTTCTATTCTATCTCTCTTCTTCATCAATGCAGGTCCACCTGCCAGTCATGGAACCTACTCAGAACTACAATTATGACAGCAGTTATAAAGATCCAAGCCTTTTTCAAATAATATTTTAAGGTGTGCCCTAGTGTAAAAGTTAGCAGTTAGCCTATTTTTCATGACCATTCTGGTTAGAAATAAAATCAGAAGTATCAACATGTGAGAAAGGAGCTCCACAACTCTGATACATAATTATAAAAGTTGTATAATTTAATAATTTACACAAGAAAAACTATTGCTGAGTAATTTATTACACAATTTTATTTATTTTAATTTTATTTACAATACATCTAAGTAAACAGTCTTTGAAAAGTTTCCCATTTCTGGTCTGTGGGGGATAAATAATATATTAATACATATCAATTGTATTTGTATGTTAGTAGAGTGTAGATTGTAAATTGCATGTCAAACAGTTACAGCATGATGTAATATATGACATATAGTCATTAAGTATATAAATGTGAAACTAGGTGTTATAACAGTCTAAACACAAGTGTTAAGAATGTTTTAATACAAAATCATCTCAGTTTTGTTGTCTTGTAAAGTGATCGTGTTCAATTGAAGTGTAATAAAACATTAAACACTGCACACTTCAGTTTCATTCAGAACAAATTTTTTTTAAAATCGCCAACAAACTTAAGAGCATTGTTAATGACACAGCAAAGGGGAAATTGTACATTTGTAAATGTTAATGTGCCCACTTCAGCAGAGGATGATTCTGGAAAAAACAGTGTGTTCTCTTTCCCTAGACAGAATAAATCCTCCACACACTGATCTGATGTCTCTGAACAGTAATTGCATTCATTAGAACAGGCTGACAGGCGCTAATCACAGCTAATCCATCTGTTTGGAACTTTAGTTTGGCCTCCAATAAATAATTAGTATAGACTTTACATTTAACTGAAGCTGAATTGAAATGGATAGTTCACCCAAAAATGAAAATTCCATCATCATTTACTCACCCTCAAATTGTTCTAAACCTCTATAACTTTCTTTTTTTCTGTTCAACACATTTGATGAATGTGGGTAACCAAACATTTTCTAGTCCCCACTGACTTCCATAGTATAGACATTTTTTAAAAATACTATGAGCATTAATGGCTACCAGCAACTGTGTGAACTGTGTGCTAAGCAGAGAAAAATAAATAAAATTATTCAGATTTGGAACATCTTGAGGGTAAGTAAATGATAACAGTATTTTCATTTTTGGGGTGAACTATCCCTTTAAATTTCAATTAATTTCCCGTGCGGGAAAATAAAATAATTCAAGTCAAGTCACCCTTATTTATTTATATGTTTAAAATCTATTTTGTGAAGTTTTCTAGTAAGTATCAGGGTTCAATAATATCACATTTTAAATTAAACATGTATAATGTTTATTCAGTGTGATTTCACACGTTTAGTTTTAACAGGCTGTATGATTGTAGCTGTTTCTAACAACTTTTCTGTCAGTTCAAAAAGGGCACATTAAGTGCAGTTGCTATGTAAAGGAGTATATCAACATAATGAAGATTATTTTTCAGAGTGATCCCCAGTGATTCTCATCTGAAGGGTTCTCCCACTGGACCGAACTATCAAAGTTACCTGTCATCTTAATGTGCAGCTGTCAGCAATATCCAGCAGTATGACGGGCCTTCAGATGCTCTAATAATGTTCATATGTCCTTCTCATACTTCATTGATTTGTGTTTTCCCTTGAGTGTTTCTTGATTAATATAGCCCCTAAAATCACACTCTACTGTACAGTACATCATCAGTGCAGAATGCGTCACTATATTAGGCTATTGTTAAAAAGTTTGGGTAAAGTTTACATTTACATTTAGTCATTTTACCGACGCTTTTATCCAAAGCGACTTACAGTTGGGGAATACATAAAGCGATTCTTCTTGAAGAGGCAAACAGACAGAGGAAGTGCTTGAAATACCAAGTTTTAGGCATTGTTCAAATAAGTACAAGCTAGAAAAGGAAAGGAATAAATAAAGAGAAATAATTTTTTTTATTATTATTATTATTTTTTATTTTTTTATTTTTTTAAGATGAAGTCAAGTAGCGTTTAAAGAGATGAGTTTTCAGCTGTCGCTTGAAAATTGTCAGGGATTCAGCATTCCGGATAGGGGTGGGAAGATCATTCCACCAGCCAGGAACGGTGAACGAGAATGTTCTGGAAAGTGATTTTGAGCCTCTCTGTGATGGTACCACGAGGCGTCGCTCACTAGCGGATCTCAGACTTCTGGAGGGGATGTAGATTCGTAGTAGTGAGTGGAAGTAGGCGGGTGCTGAGCTTCTAAAGTTTGTTAGAAACTTGAGATGTAAACATGTGGCCACATGGAGGCAGAGGTGAGACGCACTTCTTTCTATGAAAGGAAGGATTCATTCAATCCTGGCTGGAATAGAGATGATCTCAGGTAGTGAAGATGTCACTACAGGCAATTTGCCCTTTTTTAATATCATCAATAATAATAATCTAAGTTTTGAAATAAAAGTTGTTTTTATGCTGCTTAAAGAAAAAAACTTACTTTTTTTTTTTTTTTTTGAAAAGCAGCCCACATATCATTTTGTACATTATAACATTGTAACAATGTAAATTATAACACTGACGTAGTCTGCAGTCAGAAGTGCTTCTGTGTGGTGACAAACCTGACAGCCGTGATAATGATCAAAAGACGTAAGTAACCTGTGCAGAAGTAATTGAAGCACTGTTTGAGGCCTCAGGCCCTCTTCCCCACATGGTTTAGACATCCATTAGTGAGCTTGATTTGGCTACAGTAACAGTATCATGAAGGGCTGCTGCACTTTCTCCATGATGACTGATGAGTCTACGTGATCAAGAGGACAGGCAGGTCTGGCAGGAGTGTAAATCATAACATCAGATCATATTGGTTGTAGTACAGTACATTTTGACTTGCCTGAAGTGATAACCAGCTGCTCAGTGTTAGATATTATAAACCTGACTTAAAATAACTAAATAAATAAACAACTCTTCCGTCTAGTATATTATGACTTCAAGTGGTTCTGTTCAGCAGAACCGGTCTTGGGCAACAGTAAATAAATAAAACAACAAAAATTCTGCATGTCTTATCGAGTTCAACACTGGTCAGCTCATTGTGCTCTCACTCCCAAAAAACAATTCTGCACTACCGACACCTGGGCTTTGGGGTTTTTCTCATTTTCTCGGAATGAACTCTATAATAATTCACAATCATTGGGCCTCATGAGACTTAGAATATAAAAATGTGTGCTTGTTCTAAAATAGACTTTCCTGGTGATTCCCTTCTTTGAGTTTTCACATAGATGTTGTTTGAACAAGAAAGTAGTGACTGGAAAATGGCAAAATATAAACATCAAAGGATAACGTTACAAAGAATATATGAAAAAAAAAAACTATCTGAGGCAAATCCTGATAGCTCAGTCCTTCTCATCTGCTTTTCAGTGTTCTGTACAATTATTTATTTATTAAGCTGATATTAATTTAAACATAATTATACAACTGACCTTCATTCACAAACTATAAAAGAGCAACATTTCAGTAATGCATTTTGTTAAGGCACCTAAAACCATTAGTGGTGGATATTTATGTGTTTGCAAGTATCATCATGACTATATGATGTATTTAGTATTTTATGTGTGTGTGATATTCTCTCTTGCTCTCAGTGAGTGATTGTAGGAGATATTCTGGGCGGTGAGGCTCTGCTCTTCATCAGAATCCCTCAGTAGGTGTCGAGTGAAGAGCACCCGGCCATATCAAACTCATGTACTTATTAATACAGAGGCTGCAGACTGCATGATGGTAATACATGTGAGCAGTAGCCAAAACAATGAGCAGGCCTAGATAATGCAGTGTAGGCTAGTCATGTATTAGACTTTATATTGTGTACCCTTGAGAACCACTATGTCCCTGTTCCACAGTGACAGTCCTAAAATGAGGGGCTACTGCTAAAATGAGGTGAATGCTACACTGTGGTGTTATGTAGGATGTTTTTCTCATGTATGTGACTCACATCAGCAGATGCAGCGGAGGTCAAAGGTTAGGACTCCCAGACTGACTCATGTTATAAATGTCCAGGGCATGTAATACCCACATTGATTTCCCAGCAATTAGGTAAATTTAAGTAGTTTCTATATTTTAAATAGAAGGAAAAATAAATTATGCATTTTAATTCAGCTAAAAGTAGGCTATTTTTTTTTTTGCCTCTGGTTGGTTCGACTTCTAATTCTCAGTACACTGCCTTACAGGAGTTTAGCTTCAAAATCCAACATACATACAGTAGGCCTATGTACCATGTAAAATATTGTACATATTTGTTTATTAGCACTGTCAGGAGGACAAATGTGGGGGGGTGAAAACAGGGGGTGCTGCAGCCCCCTCAGCACCCCTACTTCCCGCGTCCTTGTGTTTGGTTTTTGCTTGGCTTCAAGATGGCCATGTTGATTTAGGTGTGGACAAATTATAGCGCTCTCTGGGTTACAAGCTGTATGGGAATCAGAGCTGCGAGATTTGGACTATTATACATCATTATAAAAACCGTGTTTTCTTGCATTCAGTCTTAGCCTACTTAACGCTTACTTTAAATACTTCATGTAAAATTACCAAATGAAGAGACTGTTTGGCATTATTACTCGGCTCTGGAAAGCTACAGTATGGTAGGCTACTTGAATACTTTCATAACTTCAAGTTGTGTGCATCTCAGTTATCGTTTGAATTATACATGACTTCGTGTTTTGTACATTGTAATGTTTTATTAGCTGAAACGTTAGGAAAACATATAGGTAAGATTCAATATTTCATCCCTATTTATTTGGTGAGGAGTTGTGTAATAAGCAAGATAATTGTACATTTAGTCCAATATTTGGTATTAATAGAATTTTGATTAAAAATATGGATGTGCTCTTTAACATTTACCCAAAACAAACAGGTGGAATATCCTTAATAAGGGCAGGGGAACTGCAGACATCAGCATCCACATTGCTCCCTGAAGGCAACATTAACTTTTGAGCACATGGGTGTATTGAATTAGCCTCCTATTGATGCAGCAACACGTAATCCATTTACCATAAGACTTATGCTCCACACTCTCTGTCTCTGGCCAGTCTGTTTGTGGAAAAACTGACCATATTATTGTCTTTTTGCAGACAAAATTGAATTCTATATTATGTGTTCGTAACGATATACTGTCTTTGCCCTGTTAGAGCTGCCTCTACTTCCTTCTATTCATTTTTGTCCAAATACATAGATTAATGGAAAGGTCTCCAGATGTGCTAAATGTTAAAAGTTTCCATGCCACTGCAAAGGAACATTTCTGGTACAAAATAGCTGTGTTGTAAGCGGAACAGATTGGTATGACCAGATCGCATTGAGAATTCATATTTTAAAGGGACTCACTCACAATTAATTTACTATGACATCCCAATTTTTTGAAAAAACAAACAAACTAGACTGTTTAAGGGAAGAGACGAAAGAATGAGCTGAATACTACAAGGATGAAGGAGCTGGATTTATCCTTGGGAGTAAAACAGGCACCAGGGACTAGAGTTCCCAGAGGCCTCAAAAAAATGAGGGATGGACTAAGCAGTCAGTTTGTACACAAAAAAAAAAGTATGTCATTTTTAAACTCACACTTGAAAACTATCTGAAAAATGTCCATGGCTTTGTCATGTCCGAGTGCTTTGGAACAGTATATGTATTGTGAAAAGCGCTATACAAATACATTGAAATTTAATTTATTTTTATACCTTATTTGATTCTGTCTACAGCATGTGACATCAGTAAATCACTCTTCTCCTGCTTTGTATCCTTCACCATGGATATCAACATAATGTCCAATATATTTCCCTGCTGCTTTATGAAAGTGGCTAAATGCAATATCATTAGGCTATTGACAGTGAGCTTGCTTTAATATTCACAGGCCATTTGTTTGTCTTTTGCTATTCATTTCACAGGTTTAATACCAGGCTCGCCCTGATGATATGCATTAATATAGAGCCGTCAGAATAAATCATGTAAATGTCCGTGCTGTCGCACTACCAGCCTATACCTTTTTTTATTATGTGCTCGAAGCTAGGATAATCATGTAATGTGTTTTATGCTAATGTGCAGGCTTTTTACGGAACAATCCATTGAAGAAATGTTGTTTACAAGCATGTGGAAAAAGAAGAACCGAACATGTTTTTCATGTTTAAGAGAAAAAGGTGACCAAATAAATGATGGGGAAATCTGTCTCTGCCCTCAAGGGTCTTTTTTTTGCCTCTCTCTCACCCCCACTTTTTGCTCCCATGACCATGGACATATCCGGCCCCCACAGTGGGTCCCTGGCATAGTTGTAGGACTATCGGAGAGGTATAAGAAAGGGTGTAGAGGAAAAGCACCAGGCACTCTGTTATGACCGAGAGTCAGGACGGATCTCTTAAACCAGTTTTGGAACTGATGGAGCAGCTTGGATGTCACCTTCACTAAAGGTAAAAATACATAACATAACATACAAAATACAATACATAATACATTGTGAGATAACAAAAAACACATTTCAGATGAGACATTCTTGTTTGTAAATTCATCAAACTGACACATAACCTCAGAAAACACACTAAATGTGTCATAGCATGTTTTTTTGTTTTTTTTTACCGTAAAGCAGCATCTAATGTTTACAAGTGTGTGTGTGTCTGTCTTGTCTGTCAGTGTCTCTCCAGCTACTTAACCCACCATTGATGTAAATGACTGTGTTTCATGTGTTCAGCTCAGCGCATTAAGATTCTATGTCAAGGTAAGAGGACTTTTATGTTGTTGTTACTCTGTCACAGTTTGAATGCATAAACTTTTCTCTACTCAGGGCTGATCATATCCATCATTGTAGGGAGTACAAAGATTTTATTAGACCACCAATATAAAAATAAATGCAAACAAAAACAAAAATCTCTTATCAGTATGACAAATTGCATTATTCTGATCAGCCACCACTTCCTGAGCAATAGCGGATGTCTGATAAGCATATTAAAATAGATTGAGTGATATTCAAAAGACGTGAACCTTGGAATGCAATGTCGTCTGTTATTGGTTGTTGACTCCCTTGGCAACACGCCTGCATCTGCTTACATAATATGTGCTTGTCTTCCCTAGTGAAAAATAAATATACTAAAATGTGTTTAAAATCCATTTAATTTAATTTGAAGTATACTACAAATACATTTACATATTTATGTGCTTAATAAAAATACCCTGCACTTGTACGTTTGGTATACCAAACTGGTATACTTAAAGTCTGCTAAATTGGAACAACTAATTTTGGACTTAATGCACTTTAATTGTGCGGAAGTAGTCCAACTAAAGGCATACTTAAGTATTTGATTAAGTATTTGAAGTGGAACTATTGTAAATATACTTTAGGTACACTTTTTAAATATCTTGCATTTAAAGACCGATATTATTCAAAGATCATACAATCCTCATCAATAGTGACATTCAAACACATTTTAGGCTTAATATTAAGAAATGTGCATTGTGCACAAGTAGTACTCCAAATAAAGTTTCATTACAATTTTTATGTCTGTAAGTCTCCAGTGATATGTCAGTAAATATGTTAATTTGATTTGAAGTATACTTAGTATGAAATAAATTTATTTTAAATATATTATCAGGAAACCAGTGAAGAAACAGCATGAGCAGAGCAATGATAATTCTTTCTAAATACAGAATCTGAATTCAGTTTTACTTGCCGAGTAAGTTACAGTTACTAGGAATTTGCCTTCCTAGGTGCTTCCATAAATAATACTACAGTTACCTTTTTTCAACCAGTTATTCATGATAAATTAGATACAGCATATAATATAGACACACTGTACTACATTCAATATATCACTATGTAGTATATCTGAAGCCTTTTCAAATGTGTAAACAAATTATTGCCTAGAAATATGTAGCTCTCTGAGAGCTTGACCTTGTTTGACCTTTACACCCATGAGAAGCTGCCTGATGTGTTTCCATTATGGTACGGTTTTGGGAGCTTTGAGAGGATGACCAAACTTAATTCTCACAGTGTATATATCATGTTTAATACGCATTATTTATGTATATTAAAATATTTCAAAAAATCAATCTATCTATCTATCTATCATCTACTTTATCTCTGTTGTTTATTTATGTTCTAGATTTTATATAGTTTGGCACTTTTTACTGAATTAAAAATACAGAAGTGTTAAACAGTTCATAAATAGTAATAGTAGTATTGTATAGTAATTAATAGTAAATATGAAACATTATTTATTGCCGTAGTTATCATAAACATTATTTATTACATCTGTTATTATTTTATTTCTGCATTTCTATTTGAACATTTCACGTTGTGTAAATTATCTTTATTGTATTATGAATGCACGCATGTTAACAATTATAACAAATTATAGTATAAATATAAATTAACATGAACTAAGATAATAAATTCTGTATAAGATAATAATTTCTGTAAAAGTATTGTCCATTGATAGTTTGTGATACCTAATATATCAACTAATGTTAATAAACTGATCATTAATGTAAAATGTCACCAATTTATTTTATTTATTGATTGATTTATTTAAAGACCATGTAAAATATTTACCATAAATATTTCCATTTAATGAATTGTACCAGATTTAGCTAATTTTCAGTATAACTGGATGGAGCTGTTGAAGTAGGCCTACAGTCAACCCAGTTGCTGTTATACAAAATCAACAAGCTCCTAGATAATATGAGCAGAGAGACATCTAGTGTTTGTAGTAAGTAATGCACCTTTCAAATGGAAAAAAAAAACCTTATGAGAAATTGCATGAAACTTTTTGCCATGTTAACCATCTGTATCCACTCTGTTCTTATAGGGCTCCTTTAACGACGCAGCTTTTTAGGCTGTGAAACTGAGGGTGTGTTTGACAGATCTCCAAAATGGACAACATCACAGCCGACGCTAACGTGGGACTCAAGCTCACGTGTAACATGACCGGGCACCACAATTTCATCTTCACGTTCATCCCAGTAGTCTACAGCTGCAACTTTATCATCGGAATTGTAGGCAACAGCCTGGTAGTCACTGTCATCTACTTCTGTTTGAAGCTGAAGACTGTTGCAAACATATTTGTTTTGAACTTAGCCGTGTCAGACTTGACCTTCCTCCTCACCCTGCCCATTTGGGCCATATACACTGCAACAGGCTACGAGTGGCTCTTTGGAGACTTCCTATGTAAAGCCATTGCTGGTATGGCCCTCCTTAATCTATATACTAGTATTTTTCTCCTCACTGCTCTCAGCATTGACCGGTATCTGGCCATCGTTCATCCCGTCAAGTCCCGCCGGTGCCGTACGGTGGTGTACGCCCGTGTGACGTGCGTCTTGGTTTGGGTAGTTGCTCTCCTTTTAAGCCTTCCCACAGCCGTTATCCGTGGGACCCATTTTATCCAGCATAACAATGTCACTGTATGCGCCATCCTAGACGAAGAAGATCTTCGCAATGTGCTGGCAGCTCTCAGCCTGATGAAGAGTGTTCTTGGGTTCCTTCTGCCCATCACCATCATCCTCACGTGCTACTGCCTGATTGGCCGGTCTCTGCTCAAAGCACGGGACATTCAGAGGAATTCGAGATCGAATGGGGACGAGGTGTTGAGCATGCTGGCCGCCGCCGTGCTGTCGTTTTTCCTTTGCTGGACACCACATCAGATCTTCAACTTCATGAACATGCTTGGTCTGCTGAAAGTGATCACCAACTGCGATGTCATTGAGATCATTGACACCGTAATGCCGTTCACCATTTGTATTGCCTTTTTCAACAGCTGTATGAACCCAATCCTGTACGGTTTTGTCGGGAAGAACTTTCGCAGGAACTTGCTGAAGCTCTTGAGGTGTTCCTCGACTTCTGTGGCATCTCACCCCACCCTCAGTACCAAGATGAGCTCTCTCTCATATCAAGCCTCGGAGTCATTACACCTCTCCGTCAATAAAATGTCCTCAATACCTCAAGCCACATGAGGAAAACAGAAAGGGTTATATAATATATATATATATATATATATATTGTGTTAAGTTAACTTTTCACCTTCCTCACCAAAGGACAAAATCATGCTGAAAATACTAAATATGTTTTGTATAATATTTCTAATATTTCACCCATCTAAGCTGTTAAAGTGTCATTGGTGCAATTGAAATGCTGTATTTTCCACCAATGTGATAAATGAATGAAATCTTCCTAATTCTACACATTTTTATAGCAGTATTTTTACTCTGAAATGGGTTCCTGTGTCTCATAGCTCCACTGATTAGACCAGGGGTTTACAAACATTAATATGCCACATACCCCCAAATATGATGATCTCCTTCTGAGAGAGATATAAAAGGCAATTCATGGTTATCTATTTATAATTGATATATAACTAAACGATTTTTATACATTAACATTAACAAGTTTTTATAAACTGCATTTTTTCTACACCCATGTAATTTATATTATTGACAGCAATGGGTAATTAATTCACTACGACAGTCTCATGATTTCTGACCAGTCTTTAGAACGCAAAATGAAACATTAATAGTATCAAGTTCTGTAATTTTATTTATTTCAATTGATTTAATTGACCATTTGAACATTTTTTTTCTCCCCTTGTGGCTCCCCGAGGGTCCCTGGACCCCAGTTTGAAAACCCCTGGATTAGACTATGGCATGGGGTCTAACAAGACATGGTAGTTTTCACACACTGTATGTAGTGCTATCATAGTCAACACTGTTTAGTCTTGATATGAAATGAATTATCATCTGATAATTGTTTTATTTTTCTTACACCACTGTGGTAATTTAGCACTTCAAGCAGGCTCTAATGGTTGGTTGGTAATTTTGTAACATGCTGTTCTATATAATGACATGATACTTGAGTCTGAAAATGTATGTTAAGTGTTGTCTTTTAACAGGAAAACAAAATAAATGTATTAGAGTATCCTCAACGTAATGACTCATGCAATTATTTTTTTTATCACACGATGGCATCAAATGAAAAAGTAAATGACATAATTCACTTGTTATTCCTATGAGACAAAACTAAGGAATTTCCAACTGCATTTGGACATGAACTGAATACTTTTATTACTTTGAATTACATTTTTAAACGTATGGATAACTAGTTCATTGTATCTCAGCTCATACCTGAAAATGTGAGTTTCGTTTCGTAATGTCTCCCAGTGTTTTTAACTGAAATCTTCGGAAGTGGATAGTGGTAAGTGAGGGGGCGTGTCTGTTGTCAGGGGTCATGTGACCATAAAAGTCATGTCACTAGTATAAATCCTCTGACAGACCACGTACTGCTTCTCTCCAGCGTTTCTCACGGAGGTTTTGTATCCGGTTCGGTCTGGCTGTTACGTGAGCCATGGCAGGTAGGCAATGTTATGAACCGTCACATATCGCCTGTGCTTGTAAAATGAAACGAACGCCAGTTGTGTTTGCGCAAGTAGCATGAATACAGCCTATAGCACGCGCTGCCTCGGAGGTAGCGGAACTCGCTGGATAGCAGAGCTTTATTTCAGCGTTGTCTAGACTGTTGTCCTTTAATATTTGACGATATACACAGTTTAGCGTTTGGTCTATTGTGTAAAGGGCCTAGTCGCGTCTCATACGCAGTTGTTTGGTGCGCAGTGTTTACGGTTACATTCACTGGCCTGTCATGCAGGAAGAGAAGAGCTGCCGTTAGTTTGTCACTTCTGTCTCGCTTGCGTTCAATGCGACAGTGCAGAGTCATCGGTCTATCACACAGCCAATGCAGTATTTAAAGCGCGTTTTCTTGTGCACGGATGGGTTGTAATCAGTTCCTCCAACATGTGCTACTGCATCATCAGTTATTGTTAAATGAACGCAAATATAAAAAGAAAGTCAAGTGCACTCAAAAATAACAGCAGGTATGAGAGTTATGCGCATTATTTTCCACGATTAGTGTCAAATAAAAAAGTACCTACAATAAACATCTATCTCGTATTATAATGTATATTTTTGTATTGCATTTATTTTCCTCCTACAAAGCGTACAGCGTATTGTCTCATTTTATACGTTAAGTAATTATATAGAGTAAATTCTGACCGAAATTGACCAGTTGTATATTTCTTCTTTAACAACAAAAAGTTCCCCAAGATGCCGAAGCATCATTTTAGGTGTCGCCAAGTAACGCACAGATGGAAACCCGGTCTGGATGCGCGAGTGGAACGGACATAGTTCCTCTACTTCGCCCAAAACGTTCTGTTATCGTTCGGCTAGAACTCCACTCTGGGATTTCTGGTTTCTCAGTAGCATGGTCTGGGAATAGTATGCAAGTCCCAGTGCTGTTATATTAACTATAAGTCCTTTTGAAAAGCTGCTTGGCCAGTCAAATTTGAGTATTTAAACTAACTATTGTATTTTTAATACAAGGTATTTCCTGTGAATGAGTACTACTTACAACAAGAAGAATAACAAAGTGCATTTAACAGTAAATCTTTCTACACTATAAACAGGCATGCTTGTGATTGTGACAAATTTAAAATTACAAACACCAGTTTGCAACATTAAGCAGGATAACAAACTTTTTCTGTGCAGCCAATATAAATGAATGTGCAAGGCTTCCGGTGTCAAGACACTTCCCCCAAAAAATTGCACCCACTCTTAGGTTTAAAAATAAGATGGGGAAATGGTCATTTTGCATGTGCAATATATTACATAAATTAGAATGCATACAGTAAGTGATGGTGTTTTTTTTGTTAATATAGACCAGGCTTTTGTCACCCTTGCCACAACTGACAATTATGCCAAAGGAGCAATGGTACTTGGCATGTCCTTGAGGAACCACAACACATCGAGGAAACTAGTGGCCCTGATTGGCCCCCATGTCTCTGAACCCTCCAGGTAGAGTGCTTGCTGTGTTTTGTAGCACGGCTTAGTTTTCAACTGTTTTGTGTTCTGTCACATGGTATTTGCTGTTGTCTACACTGCAGAAGTGTGCTCTATAGATCAATCAGTCTCACTTTGTGCTCTGTGTGCTACATTACAGAGCAGTGCTTCGTAAGGTCTATGATGACGTCAGGCTGGTGGATGTGCTGGACAGTGGGGATGCTGCACACTTGGCCATGATGAAGAGACCTGACCTGGGCGTCACCTTCACCAAACTCCACTGCTGGACTCTTACAGAATACTCCAAATGTGTGTTTATGGATGCAGATACTCTAGTGAGTGCTGTCTTATGTTAGCCATGATGTTTTTATGGTGTCTTTGAGAGGCTTTCATTGGTCTTCCCTCTTGTCTCTAGGTTTTGTGTAACATAGATGAGTTATTTGATCGAGAGGAGCTCTCTGCCGCACCAGATCCCGGCTGGCCTGATTGCTTCAACTCTGGTGTGTTTGTCTTCCGTCCCTCCAACGAGACTTATGAGAAGCTTCTCACCACCTGCTCAGAGAATGGCAGCTTTGATGGCAAGTGACACTCTTTAGTGTTATATTTGTTTGAGAAGCTGTAAGGGGTGTTTTAGCATTGCATAACTGCATTGAATAATGTTTTGGAAAATATGTTTTTACCATATACTTTGGAATTCATTCAAAAAAATGGTTCCTCTCCTCCAGCACGTCTAGAAGATATTTAAACCCTGGGTTGTGAAAGAGTTGCATAAACTTGCTAGGGTTCAACATGGCCATGAGTGAGTTCTTTATCAGGCATGTAGGCTGAACACAAGGTGGCTCTGTGATTTTTCTTTTTTTGGGGGGTGCACCACGCCACCTGAGGGAGTTATTCCTGGGCTCTGTGTGGGATGAAGTAAACAAAAGCCTCTCAAATGAGAGACTCCTGCTAGACCCTTGTGAAATTGCTTTGCTTGTACTGTACAGGAACTCTCATTCAAGTTATTTTTACTTGATTACATGTAAATTGTAAACAATTGTAAAACTTGTGTTTTAAGATGTACTGTTTTTGGCACTTCAGTGTTCCTGTGCTTTGTTAAAAAGCACTCCTCTTTTAGTTAGAGAACTAATCTTAAACAAAGAATTGAGCCTCAGAAGTTATCAGTAGGCCTCTTGTTTTGAAGGTCTTGGAGGCAGTTGTATTTCTGTTTCATCTTCGTATCGCTCAGAGTTGAGAAAACCCTGTTTTGTTATCTTTGTTTATATATAGCACAACATACAGAGGGTTCTCGTAGTGTGATTGATTAGTCCCAGTCACCATGTCACACAGCCTATGGCATATCTCTGAATGTCTGAAAATATCTGGCTTCTACTAGGGAGATGTTCACTCAGAAATTAAAATTGTCATTTACTCACCCTCATGTTGTTTCAAACCCATAAGATTTTGTTCATCTTTGAAGCACAAATGAAGATACTTTTAACTGAACCGAAGACATTTCTGTCCCTCCATTGAAAGTACCAAATGCTTCAAAGTTAATAAAGATATTGTAATGTTAATCCATATGAATCAGACTGCTTAATCCAAGCAAGCATGTTTGAGCTTCCTTTTACCATATTTAATGAGCGCTACAGTGGAGGTCAAAATTAGAGAACGATCTATAAATACTTACTCTTCACTCAAAATTTGAAGGAATATTAGCTGTAGGCATAGCACTGATCTACTAACATGTTTGACAAAATAACTAAGGCATTTCAACAAACCTTTATTTTGAGGATAACAAAGTGATCAAAATTTAAGAACCGTAACCACTGTAGCACAAAAGATTACAACTAATATTTTGGAGGGTTACAGCTGTCAGAAATTAGTAGGAAGTGTAGAGACCCCTGCTTTAAATGACTTCTGCACATCTGTGGCCGCAGGACATCTCTAGTTTCTCACACTGCTCTGGTGTGATCTTTAATTATTATTTTATTTAATTAATGTAATATCTAAATCACGACAATTCGACCGTGTCAAACTTTGAAAAAGTTTAATTGGAACATTTAAATCTGCGTTCGTGCTTAGAGCAGACAGTTACCATGTTTAGGTAAGAAACTGCTTCAGTCTTTTCAATTATACAATATTATTTCTGTTTTACAGTCATTCATATTCCCACAGAAATACTGGAATGAAAGTTTATAGTTTGGATATAAACATTGATGTCTGTGGTAGAGCAAAAGTAATTGGCGCTTCAAATAACATTTGTGTGGATTGCATTGTTTCGCCATTAGGTGGCAACAAGAATTTTAAAAATGTTTTTGTCATTGAATCATTCGTTCAAGAGATTCGTTTAAAAACACTGATTCATCCAGTAATGAAACAAATGAAATATTTATGAGTGAGTCATTGAATCATTCATTCAAACAACTTTTTCATAATTTTAATATAAAAAAATATTTCCCATTTGACCCAAATAAATTAACTTGCTCTCATCACTAAAGTGAATTTTGGACCAGTTCTCCTCTCTCCACACAACATGCTCCTCCGCAAAGGTGAGCCTAGCCTTTTGATTCTTTCTGCTGATGAGAGAATCCTGGACTCCTGCTCAAAATGATAAATTATTATAATGACAGCTTATAGCTTACAGCTTTTCAATCGAGCCGAGACCACCTCGTTCAGACGATCTTGGACTGATTGTTTTGGCACGGATCCGAGCGCGATTGCCGTGTTCACATATGCCCAAATGAACCCGAGCTAAGGGGGAAAACGCACCAGGTTCCGAAACAACAGGCCAGGTGTGAAAGCACCCTAAACATGCCGAGACCGATCCTTACCCTGTTCAGCACTGAACTGGCAAGCAATTCCAGCTGCAGTGTTGAACCATGTTGAGCCTAATTGAAATCTGTTCATCATATAAAGTGTCAGAAGGGTTTGGAATTAAACTGCCTGATTAATATGGATTCATTAAAAGATCAAGTTTCATTTTGGGTTTCACTGATAAAAGTCTTGGAACGACATTAGGAGTGCATAATTGATGACAGAATATTCATGTTTGATTGATTGAACTATCCCTTTAACATGTTCTCAGTCATGGTCTTGTCATGTATAGGACACCATGTGCTTTTTCATATGTAACGTGACTCGCATGTTCGCTGATAATCTGAGGTCAGTTTTCTTTGCTTGCATTCCCTTTGTGAATGCAAGGGTCAAAGTTAAGCAAACAGCTAAGCAAGTGACTCCTGAAGCAATCTGACATGTGCGTCCCCCCTCCTCAAAGCCTCAGTTTGCTTAACTGCTCATTGCTTCATCTGTTTAAGGAATATTACAACCTTTTGTAAATATTTTTCCAATCCCAGTGAAGCTCCTGAAACATCATCTTGACTCAAGGACTGTGCTATTTCTCATTCAGTTTTTGTCTTGTTTTCATTAGGTGGGGATCAGGGAGTTCTCAACAGCTTTTTCAGCGATTGGGCAACGGCAGACATTTCAAAACACCTTCCGTTTATTTACAACCTCAGCAGTATTGCCATCTACACCTATCTCCCAGCATTCAAGCAGTGAGTGAGAATTAACATGCTAGATTTCACAACAATTTCATTTTGGAAGTTGGTGTTCCTGGCATGTTACTGTCCTTGCTTTGAAGTGTTGTCTTCATTTGTCTGAGTTTTTGTATGAATGTTAGATTTTCTTGCAGATGTATTTGTAGTTTGCGTGAATGTTGCCAAGGTCAAGTGAAAGCCCAGTCACATAGCAACAATGTAACGAGATGAATCCAGCACCGGAAATCCTTTCTGTTCCTGGACTTGCACATCAACTTCCTCCAAATACATACTGCTCTCCAAAAATAGTGGGACTATTTTAGGGTCTTTACACAGAGCCTAAATGTCCTTTTGAATAGTTTGTTACATGATCTTTTTCCATGAGCAACACACACAGTTCTCTGGTTAGTCAAGCCCCCATTAGATCTAATTTATATGTACAGTTTGAGTCCGTATGCCACAAACTGACAAATAACCTGAATATTCCTAAGTAGTGACTAACTTCTGCTTTTAATAAAATTAGACTTTTATAGGACGCAGATTTTTATCAGTTTTGAAAGAGTGTGTTGAACCGTGTATTGAATATGATTATAGTATAGTTGACAGGTCACTTTTTAGCACTTCCGGTTGGCAAGTGTTTGGGATTTCTGAAACCTTGTTATTTTGGCGGCAGCGATCTGATCATTCCTTTTTCTCTTAGATACGGCCGTGATGCCAAGGTAGTTCATTTCCTTGGCAAAGTCAAACCGTGGGATTACAGTTATGACACCACAAGCAAAACATTAAAGGGGCAGTCACAGGATGCATCTGACATGCACCCAAACTTCTTGCTGCAATGGTGGGAGCTTTTCTCTTCTTCAGTATTGGCCCTCATGAAGGAGGAATATGGTGAACAGCCCTTCCATTCCGGATGCACAGAGGTAAGCAACAGTTTCACTGGTTCTGCTCTACTGCCGAGAGTGGCACAATGATCATTTAGGCAGTTTTTTGCGGGTATTGCTGTTAGAATTTATTCTGACTCAGATTTTTGTTCATTTTTATCCTTTGGGCACCTACTAAATACAATACAATTAATTCCCAATAACATAATAGTTCGTTCTTATTGAATTTTAATAAGATAATATAGGCTTTTTATTTTTTTGAAATGGCATGCACTAATCATACAAAATAAAGGTGCGGTCACAAAAAAGGTCCATCGTCTACTGCAGGGGTTCTCAAACCTCTCCATAAAGTACCCCCAGCACTGTAAGTTTTGTATGTCTCCCTATATCTGACACACACACTTCAGGTCTTGCAGTCTACACTATTGAGCTGATGAGTTGAATCAGGTGTGATAGATGAGGGAGACATACAAAATGTGCAGGGCAGGGGGTACTCCAGGGGCCTCATGTATAAAACTTTACGTAGATTTCATCCTAAATGTGTGCGTACGCACAAAAGCTGGATTTTTGCGTACGTACAAAAGTTTTCTAGGAAAATATGAGATACGTACTATAAATGCTTTTTGAGACATCACATTGCTATTCAAATTATATGCAATTCTGCCTATAAAGTAAACATATTTTAGAAAGCCTTATTTTTTGCAGTGTAAATAACTGCCTGACTCACAGTGTCGATAACAAAAACACTTTGAAAATAAAACGTGCATATCTTGCAGTTTCCATCAAATTCTATCTTTTCACAATAAGTCACAGTATTGGGAAGAGCACGAAAGGGGTTATCATTAGGCTACTGTCTGTGCGCGACACCTGTGAACAGAGGTTCTAGAGTACTGTCATCAAACCTGTTCAAACCAGCCAATGGACTGTTTGATCAACAAGTGCATCCTTATGTCTGTCGTTACCATATATGTTCCAAAGCATCAGATGAATTAAGTTCACATCAGTAATCATTCATGCAAAAGTATTTTCTCAGAACATGAGTTTTGCTATTTAGAACACAATTTAAAGCGGAATTGTCATGCACCAAGCAATCCTCGCTGTGATTAAAACTTTAAATCGCATACCACAGTAAAATTGTTCGAAAGCAGCACATCCACTGCAAATATTTCTGTTTAAATTCATATAAAAAATGTTGTAATTTCTGGATAATAATTTAATGAAATTTCAGTGTTTAACTGCATTATTGAGAGTGTCATATTTAATCTAAATGTGTACGTCAAATATAAAACAGACTTTAAAATCATTCTGTTTGCTTCCTTATTTCGCTCACTCCAGTAAGTGTTTTTAAACGCATGGTCTAGAGTGTCCGTACGGTGCGCACATATTTACGGCTAGTTTATATTTTATAAATCCCGATATGTGCGTGGAAAATTGCATACGCACATTTCCATGACCATTTTGTGCGTACGCAACGTTTATACATCAGGCCCCAGGACAGGTTTGAGAACCACTGGTCTACTGTAAGTAGTGTAGTGATTTCTGAGGTCCCTTTCAAACCAAGCAGTTTTCTGTTGGTCAACGCAGCAAATCTGCTTGACTTCAACAACATTTGTGTGGGGAATTTTCTCTAGTGCAAAATTTTAGATTCTTTTGAAATAACTGGATTTTGTCCATGGAAATTTGGCGAACAATGGTTAAGACCAAGAATGCGCATTTAAATGGGCCTAATTTTGGTTTTCCTCTTCTAACACTGAACTCTTTAAATGCAGTTTACTTACAAATAATGAAGTTATCTGATTTCTGAATTATTGGCTACATATTTACTTCTCATTTTAAAATCGTCTGATTTGATCTGAAAACCATTGGGTTTCAGTTCTTTGATCAGTAGTGCCACGTATTACTGGGAGAGTTATAAAGTAGCCCTTATAATTAAGACCTACAGCTTTACTGGTTTAGTTTAGGCTCCAGGGGTAAGGTCAATAACTGTGCTTTTGGACTGTGTATCCTGGGTAAATATGAGAAGGTGAGGTGATGCAAGTAGTTATCTCTCTGAAACGCAAGTGGACATGCTCCAGTTTTCAGCCTCTTTATGCTCTAACCTTCTGCAGTCTAGATTTAGGGGTGGGACTTCATAATTTTAGCAAGTTGGATAAAGGGATGAAAAAATGCACACTGATTGGGAAAACGTACTGAGAGGCATAATCTACTGTAAATTCACTTCAGATATGGACCTAAAGTAATTTCATTTAACTGAATTAATTTATATGTAACAAATATGTTTTGTTACATGGTGTATTATAGCCTACAGAGAGAAAACTATTGTTTGAAATGAGTTGGGTAGGAGTCTCTTCAGTCTCGTGGAATAACTTTCCATCAGTTGACACTCTTCATGTACTGTACTATTAATAAAATAATGTAAATGCATGTAAAAATTCTATTGTTCGTGATTTTGATCGTTTTCTTTTTCCCCCTTAGAGTGATATTAACGTTGATGTGGCTCAGATGCACATATCCCATCATCCCCCTCCACCTCAGATGTCGTCTCAGGAGCGCAAACAGAAGTGGGAACAGGGCCAAGCTGACTACATGGGAATGGACTCTTTTGAGAACATAGAGAAAAAGCTAGATTCCTTCCTAAAGTGAGAGACTTGTAGGAACGGATCATCAGATCTAGTTTTGTACTAGGGTACTTATAGGCCATGAAATAACAAAAAATAAATAAAAATACATCCTCTAATTTTTATACCAGTTCAGATCATCTATGCAGCTCAACCTCTTACACACTGTGATTGCAAGACTTATTAGAATGACACAATATCTCACTTGCCTCATTTCCAGAGGAGTCGTGACCCGAGACCATTCAGGCATCGTTTCTGATCTCACTAAACGACACCCTACTGTTATTTTTATATTATTTAAAATTCAGTAATGTAAATGTTATGGTCCTACAACTTATTTGCCTTTTGTGTGTTTGTGAAGATCAGAAATGTTTGGAAAAAAATAGAGAAACATACTGCAAACAAAACAATACCAAACCTTGTAAATATCAACTATACTGTACACCACTCCACATTCAATATTAATCATCTAATGACCGCCTTTGCAAAGATATTGTGTTTACAAGACACTGTGTGCTGCCAACTCGCTTACATTGTTAATACTGGCTCTGATACACATCAGCAACTTATTGTGAACCAAGGTCACTCCGCTCTTGCCTACTGGGCAGTCCCTCCCTGTACCAGGAATAAGCCACAAGGGTTTTGCTACACCTCTGCTGGTAATACTGTTAAAGCTGGAGCTGTTCATAACTAGTTTGTAACCTCTCTGTAACTTTACCCTCGCCTGCAACATCTGAAAGAAAGAACTAGTAATATGAGTCCTAATTTACTGTCGTTAGAACCAGTTAAATCTTCCATGAACCAACAATGACCACATGGTGTTTATTGTAATGAAAATAATCAGAACAACCATTTGAGATTAAACGGATATTGTGTACATGAGTTGAAGAAAAGAAAAAAA